AAAAAAAAAAAAAAAAAAAAAAAAAAAAAAAAAAAAAAAAAAAAAAAAAAAAAAAAATAATTTTTTCTCTGAACGGTGGCGACGTCTAGCGACTGGAAGAGGTACTACAAAGTAATATCCTCGAACAAGGTCAAGGAAGTATAATAAGCCACTAAAAGCGACGACGAACGACTGATGACTGCTGCATGGCATGCATGCAGCTTTAGCCTGAGCTCCAAGAGCCAAAGAGCGCCTCCAAAAGAAACTTATGTGCTATAGCTGTTGTATATACCTATATATAGGTGCATGTGAATAATGCAATGCAAGGGGGAGGGGGACACCCCCACAACAAAACCGGACTAACTGACAAATAGGTAGTGACCGTGGACGGAAAACAGCAACACTCTCTTGGTACATACTTAATATACTTACTTGGCAGCACATGATGCGACGATCTTTGCTTTTAAGATGAACTCTGAACTCTGATCTAGATGCCTTCTATACTTAGTACTTTCTAAAGCCATTATCAACTTTTCCTGATAGGTGCAATGGGTATAGCGTAATGCAGATGAATAACAACATGGTTTTAAAGATAGTGTGCAGCTGTATTATCAAAAAACACGAGTGATGTATGTTCAATGTTTACATGTTTGATAGGTGATGTATAAGAAAAAAAAAAAAAAGAGACGTTTACTATTTTCTTTTGACTTGAATATACTCTCAAGTACTTATCATGGCATAGGACGGATACGCGAGCATGTTGTCTGTGTTGTTGTGTTGTCTCTCTTACAGCGAATTGATCGAGCAGCTGCTCTCTGTTGACATGTATTTATATTATATAGGTATATATGTACGACCAGCTGAGCTGTGCTCTGCGCTATATAGAGCTTTTATTTTAATCAAATGAGAAAGTTCTCGATACTTAAATTTTTACCTAGAAAAATTTCTTTTGTGAGTCAAAGCCAACTAATTTCACGTTTTACGTGGAATTTGTGAAAACAAATTTTTTTTCTTAAAAAGAGATAGAGGTATATAAATCAATTGTATCTGTCCGAAATTTAATTGTCGTGAAAAATTTTTTGGTGATGACACCCCCGTAGCTCGTTTTAATGGTTGCAGCAAAAACATATTCGTTTTCTGCATCGTCACGATATGATGGCATTATTTATCTAAAAAATCGTGAGTAGCAATAACGTATAAGAAGAATAAGCCAAGAAGCGCAAAGTAGTGCGTACCCATGCAATTAATAATAGGATGCAAACTACGATGTATAAAAAAAAAAACGACTCACATTAAAGGGCAGCAGCTCATGAAGACCAACGGACTCGTTGATGGTCGCGCGATTGGAAAACGAAGGAGAAGACGACGACGACGACGGAGAATCAGTAAAAATGATTGTATCGATCAAATAAGGAACCGGTGGCCGTTCACGCCGACGATGATGCCCGTTGAAACCGTTTGGTGTTCGATCCATGCAGATGACGAGGGGCGCTCTTTACGAATCGAGGGCTGACGGGGCCGAGACTGCGGAGACGGTGCTGCAGGTGACACGCGGCCGGCAGGGAATGGACGTTGAAGCGACAGCCGCGGTGGACGGATCGTACGCACGAGGTGTGTGTTGCGATCATAACAACAACGCTCCTTGCACTGCGGCGGTAGATTGGTCCTGGTTGGGTCCTGATTGTTGTATAACGTGCATCGTCTACAAAATGCATAGGTATACTACGTCGAGCTTTGGTATAGATTTCTCCTTGATCTTACTTGTTAAAGCTCTGGCAAGCGACGATCTTGGGTGATTTGGGACAGTCGGGGCTTCAAAGTTGACACTCAACGTCTTGCATATGGCACTTTTGTGGGGCGCGCGCGCGCGCGCGCGAGTGTCGCAGCACGACAGCAGAGCAGCCCGTCCAGGGGGGCTGAAAAAGAGGTGCTCTTTCTCTGTATTTTATGGTGTGTATATGTACATACATACAACCTGTGCATGTTATATATATATATA